TTTTCGGACCTATATATATTGGGCCGGGGGGCGGCGAAGACGAGTTGGTCGGCGAAGACGATTTTCGAAGACGATTTTTCGACGCCTTAATCGGCCCGGGGGCGAAGACGAGGTCCAGGTTTGCCCCATTCCATGGGTCCGTGAAGTTAATGATTTAGTTTTGAATAGTCACTTCATTTGTCCAACGTTCACCCCAGTATATATAGTCCCAGGGTGTGAGGTGTTCTGATTTGACTTTCCAAGGCTCGCCCCACTAGTCCAAGGACGTGAGGAGTTCTGATTTAATTTCATAGTGGCCCCCACAAGTCCAAGGTTTGTCTTTTTGGCTGGGGGGCGAAAACGTGGGCGAAGACGTGCACACGGAATCACACGGAAATTGCGTGTTGAATGCTCGGCTGTATAGGAGGCCTCCATGTGAAGTGATGGCATTAGGCAGGACATTGTAGTATCTCATCATCCCACTGATGTGAAAACTTCCGTACGCCAGGTCCGCAGTAACTGATGTGTAGTCTCACCCAGTGATGAGTCTCAAGTCCGGCGCATGTAGCACGCAAGGCAATGTATAGATATAGATATATCTATATATATCTATATAGTAAGGTCTGCCCCCACAAACTGCCGCGCCAAACACTTCCACTGCGCCTGTTCCGGATTCCGGGCGGTCTGTGGGGCGTTTCGGCACGGCAGTTTGTTGGGTTTAAATCCCCAAGTTGAGCACCGGACCAGCAGATATAGTAGGAAGGTATCCCCCCACAAACAGTCGTGCCAAAGGCTTCCACTGCGCCGCATGACACCGCCTTTTCGGAGCGGACTTGTGTCCCAGATTCCACATGGTTCGGTGATGTTCGGGGACGGCGAGTACAACAAGGCACCTCAGTCCCAGCAAGCAATATTACCTGCAAGTCCCCTCCAATGGCGCAGATGGTGGCGGCTACGCGGAGGACACTAGCTGGGCGCGGCATCGAGCTGAAATGCACTCTGGAGGACGGGCGCCAGATTGACAAATTCGGCGGGCGCTGTGCGCGAGTGTCGAGCGCAGTGGCTCCATTCGACACGATTCAGGCATTGCGCAGATGGAGTTCCCAGGGCAGTTCTGAGGTATACGCACTCCGTCAGGGCGGCAACGCCTTGCCTGAGCCGAAGCCGTCGTTGCAATCAGCGGCGCCTGCAGACTTGCCAGACGAGCCGGCGGGTGAAGCCCTGCAGCGCAAGCCCCAGCGGGCGGGCAGTGCAGCAAGTGGTGGAGTCGGGTGAGACGCCGCCCCAGGAAACAGACCTTGCTGGAACAGTGGCTGCCCCTGCATCAGTACAGCAAGTTCAGGCCATGGAGACGTTCATAGTCCAGGAGCAGCGACGCGTGAGCGGGCCAATGCGCCCACAGTGTGGAGGACAGTTTTTGGATGGCCTTACAGGCTGGCCAGGCAAATAAGGCCCAGATGTTTTCCGGACGGACGAGTCTGTAGTGGACAGCAGCTTCTCCAGTTCCAGCAGCGACAGCTCATCGTCGAGCAGCGCCCATCAATGAGCGCAGCTTCGCCCAGCAACAGCAAACGCATTTCTCATTTCGGAGCCACGCTGCCCCCTCTTCACCCTTTCCCCTTACTCCTCTGCCATTGCATTTGTGCCCTGCCAGAAGCGACCACCACAGCATGGGACGCGAGATCCAGGACTTTTGGCGCGGATTGGTGTCAGCGCAGGGTGGCTGCGAGAATGCCTTGCTCGAAGTTTTAGACTAGAATCTGTTTCACGCCTGCCGGGCCCCCACTGTCTTTTGACAGTTCTCGTTTTGAGCCGCACTCTTGTGTAGGCCGGGACCCAGCGGGCGGTCTCCGAGCCTTTCCATGCCCAAGGCTTGGCACGCACGAGTGCGTCAAGAGTGTTGGAGCCGACAGTGGGGTCCAGTTGCACCCAGCCGGCGGCAACAGAGGCCATGGGTCGAGCAGGTTCACCATATCAAACTGTCAGGAACCCGGAGCGCAGCCCAAAGTGTGCCTTGCCGGGTTCACATGTGGAGAGCAAGCAGTTAACTTTCACTGTATGCATTGCACGTCTGCTCTTGCACCACCTTCCACCTTGGCAGCATGGATTGTCTAGGGCGAACTTGCGACCTGCGACCTCATGTCCGTCAATCACTCGCAGCCAGCGTACCTGTGGAGAGACTTCCGCGAATCTGCAAGTAGTCCATGACTACTTGACCTGCGCCTGCTCTCGCCCCCAGCTCAGCCAGCGTGGGCACGGTCATGACCGGTTCCTACTTGGGGCAAAATTGTTGAAGTGGGCCGTGAGCACCAAAAACTGAAATCACGCCCCCCCGTCCAGCTGTGCTCAAGTCAAACCTATCGCGCGAGCCGCGCTGAAACACATGTTCAACATGGCGAGCGAGGCCGTGCAGCCTGCAACACCCATCCCATCATCGACTACCGCGCCAACGCCGTCCTGGACGTCCTAACACAAGTTTCCAAAAACTTTGCTGCCCAACCTTTGGACCGACGCGGTCAAGAAGTATATACAACAGTGTGTGCCTTGCTGGGGTCCCCAGGCAATTTCCTGACAGGATGCTGATTGGTTCCGAGACCATATGAGCCGGAGTCCACTGGGAACACACGTGCTCGAAGCTCTATTCCCCCATCGAACTAGGGGAATTGCTCAGCAAGCGATCCTTTACTGCGACAGGAGAAGTCAATACGTCGGCGACACGCAAGCGGAAGGCGAGGTTGGAGTTCAACGAAGACGACACGCTTGACGCAGCTGAACCTGAGCCATGGGAACCGAGGAGCCCGTGGCCCATCAACGACGGCCTTGAGTCCATCCGTTGGTGCTACATCCTCTTCGAGATAGGAGAAGAGCGTCAGGCACACAAGTTCTTCGATGAGATGGTGAGATTGGTGAGGCAGGTTCGTTCCAAAACCCATCGCCTGGAGCAGTTCCGTGAGTACTACTCTGGACTCTGCGCATGATGCTACGCGCAGGCAAGGCGTTTTAGGAGGCATCCGACTTCGTCCTGCAGGATATGGCGACCTGGAACGAGCACATGGCCAAGGAGAGATCAAGTCCCCGGCCCCGGGCAAGCAACAGGGCCCATGACAAGTGGCAGTACAACTCCAGGCAGAAGTCGGCTCCGCGGAAGTCCAAGACCTCAGCAGCCTCCGAGTGGGCCTTGTTGTCTGACAAGGCCCTCGCTTGCATCGCTTCTTCTGAGAGGAGGTCTTCAGCGCTGGACGAGCCGGCAGCCCCAGCAGCACCAGGCACCAGGCGCAAGGGGCAGGTAGCAGCGAGGGGCGACTTCCAAAGCGAGAGTGCGTGGCCTCGTGTTGGCCACTGCAGGCCCCCTGCCCACACTATTCCCCAATCAAGGGGGAAGAAGCGCCAGGCAGGAGAGGCAGCTCAGGCCAATTGTTCGTGAAGTTCCTCTGGAATATGGCAAGCAGTTCGCCCTGTTGGTGGAGAACGTGGTTTCCTGGCAGCCGGCCCATCCAGAAGAAGAAACTTGACCCTCTGCAGGTGTCGTTGGCAAGCATGAAATGGGCAGAGCTTCTGCCGCAGGATCTTGCAAGCGCAGGCCATGGCGCGCGCCACCACCGTGCTCCGGATGTCAGTCTTGCTGACTGGTATCCAGAGCGTCCCTTCCATCAGCTCAAGATTCAAGCAGAGACTGTACATCCCAGCGGAGGACTCCACCTCGCGAAGCATCCACCAACTCATGATGATCACCGTGTCACCTGTGCTGTCGACACTGTCCAGGTCGAAAGGACAGAGGGGTGCATAGACAACGAAGACGACCAGGCATCTCACTGGGTAGCTTGCTTTCAGCGCCGCAACGCCGCATCCACGTGATATGGACCTACGTGTGTCCTTGATGCAGTGTCTGATCACATCCTCCACCGGCGAACCAAGGCGTCGCAATTGACGGGCAGCGATCGCAGCAAAGTAGAAGCCGGGTGGAACCTGCCAACGTCCCTGACTCCAGCGCCAACATTGCAGTCCGGCGGTTCGCCGGTCTGGCAGCATCAAAAGCACGTGCAGCTGAAGCACGAACTCCTTTCTGCGCGGAGCCGCCAAGGTGGGCGTTGGCCCAACCGGCTCCCGCCCCTGACTCAGCATCTCCACTGCCCATCGTGAAACCCCTGATCTGGTCAAAACCGCGGCCTGCAAAGGCACTGCTTCCAGCTAGAAAACCCTACAGTCTACGAAGGCCGGTGCAAACTCGGCTAAGCCCTGTGCGCGCAGCGTCTCCCACAGAGAGGCCGCCATGAGCCCAAAATCACAAAACACTTGGACTTCTGCACGCTGAGGTGGCTAAAAGCAGGCATGTCCTGTCCTCTGCGCAGCCTGCCGGCGCAAGTATACTCTGGAGGCTGAAGCGGGCGCCCCCGAAATTCGGCACAAGAGCCAGCAACCACTGAGACGTAAAGCGAAGATCATGGGCGGCCTGGGGCACTCCCACTATTGCCTCCTTCAAGACAAACTACGCATGCTCGATCCAACTTGAGGGAGGTCAACAGGTCGAGGTATGGGGCCAAGACACGGCACTCCTTATCAGACGCCCGGCTCCAGGCTTCCAACTGCGTATGGCGGATCTCCTCAAACGCCGCGTCAAACAACGCATGAAAGCCGAAAGCAGTGTCATCGCAGCCCGCCAGCATAGCCTCCATAACCTGGACGGCGCTCAAGCGCTCTGCCTCGCTGCATGCCGCCATGAACACGGCGAAGCCTATCAAAATCTCAACGGGGCAGCTCGAGCCCGACTGTCCACTGGCCACGAGCTGCCTTCCGTTGCACGTTCATACGCACATGTCGTGCTACTCAACATCTCGGAACAGTGTGCTCTCGGAGATGGCACTACTATGGTTGGAAAGTAACATGCCTCACACCTGACCACTTGAAGTTGGAGTTCAATCTCGTCGGGCCTGAATTGGAATTGCTCGCGCTATTGGAATCCATCGAGACCGCCACAGCCACACATCCCCACCGACAGAACTGTCAACTCCGAAGTGAAAAAATTATGCTGAAAGCCCCGGCTCGTAACTACATGGGCCGTAGAATTCGAACACTTCCTGTGAGATGACGATAAATGCCGCTACTGCGATAATTTTAGCCCGTACCCTGAGGCGCGGGCAAACTACTGGGGATACAGCTTGATCTCTCAATGAATCCCGTCCTGCAAGACATAGCATGGGTGTTTGGACATTCCACGACGGAACAGGTCCGCCTACGCCTGGAGGCCCCTGATTGAACTCGTGGAAGCCATACGACGACATGAGCCTCGCAGCAGTAAGACTTTCGGCAAACGCGGCCGTGCAACTGCATCCTCATCCGGAGGCAATGGCCGAATCGAGGATCTTCTAGCAGCTCCATAAGGCCAAGCAATCATGTACAGCTGTGCCTGCAGCATTACAATCACTACCAGCTATGTGATTTAAGCGTGTGTTCTGGAAGTACTGAGATCAAGGCCAACGCATAGACCTGGCCGTGCTTGTAGATGGGTCTGCAGCTTCCGATATCCCGGCCTGCAGAAACTTTCACTGTGTGATCCGTTGCAGCTATATGCAGCTATTTGCGGCTCACCATCCCAAGCACAGACCGGGGACGATGGCGGCTGACCTGGTACCTGGCACGTGGCGAAAATTTGGCAGGATGTTTGCAGACCCAATGCGGCATCTTCTGCAAGAAGCCGCTGGCGACTTCAGGTTTCCAGCGTTCCCGCTGTTGGTCATGATTGTCTAGGAAAAGGAGCGCCCGATCAGTGGGGACAGGCCTGCCACAAAGAATCGGTACATAAGGTCTGCCTGCTACTTCGTAGATTGAGCTTCCAACGAATCACAAACCTTGTAGTGGCAGTTGGGAAAACCTGTGCAGCAATGAATTATGCTGACAGGATGTCTTACGGGAGGTCGCTTCATGGCACAGTATCTTGCTTGATTTGTGCAGCGCACTGGAGCACTTCACTCAAGCATTCTTCAGCCTTCACGCTGCAGCTGGAGAAGCTCACCCATCTGACTAGACCTTTCGAGCATCTCTCGTTGAGTACATCGATTGATCGTGAAAAGGCAAAGATCGCTGCCTGTTGTACCAGCTGCCTGCATGTCCATCGAAGAGGCTTTCCGCTACTCGTTGCCCAAATGTGAAGTCAGTAGCTGATCCAATGGATGCTGCCTGTGGCAGATTTTGCAACGGGAAGGGTTACTCAGCACAAGCAACTCTGGGCTTGAGATAGCTTAAGATATACCGGGCCAAAGACTGGTAGGATAATGATGGCTCTGCAGAGCCTTCGCACTCTTTCTGGACTTTTTGATTTTCTGTCCAGCATCTTATTATCAGTGCAGACGGGTTCCACAGTCATGAAACTTGAACAAGCCATGTGCCTAGGGTGTCTGAGCTGTTCGTGCGATCTCATGTGGTTCTCTAGCCAGTATCACTCAGTGTTAACTGGCTTGTCATTGAACAACCCTCACAGAGTCAAACAAGTTTATCCAGCGTCCATCCCGCGTGCTCAAGGAAAAATGATGCAGAACTACATTTGGCGAGGGGATGATGTCGAGGCGTGGAGTAGAACAGGCCTCAAAACCTTGTGCATGCATCATTCCAAAGCTCAAATCAGAGGGGTGCACAACTGTGGCAGCAAACGCACTATGGAGCGAATCAAGCTTCATCATTCATGAGGTCCAAAGACTCCGCTACGCGTATTGACTACATTTGCAGGCTGTACACAGCACTGACACATCCTTGCAACTCGCTCATAGATTAGATTTCCTGCAGGACAGACTCTCCTTAGTTGATTGTTCTTCGAAACCGCTGCAAGAAGCCCTCTTACAAATCCAGGTATGGGATTTCAAAATTAGTTGCGACGTATACTCTGCGTGGCAAAGTCTCCACGCGTTCGGCGGGAGCCTTAGTGGGAAAGTCCTCAATGTATCAAACCTTTCTGTATGAGTTCTCATGCCAGACAGTGCTCTCGCAAACTGACATAAGTCAGATCTCCTGCGGCCTTCTCCCGGTTCTCTTCATCTTCAATCATATCTGGATAGTACTCCTCTCTTTCAGGCTGTCTGAATCTGTACAGTAAGGACAAAGTCGACCCATCTGTCCTGCACAATGTACTCCCATGGCAGGGCAAGGGTGACCTGGCGTTGGGATGCACGATGAACATCAATGAACGTGATTGACAAGAACAAGGCATGATCACACTTCATTCAGAATCGTTCAGCACGATTAGATGCAAGCCTGTGCCAGTGACTCAGGATAGATGTTCATGGCGGCATCCACACCTACAATTCCACGTCCATGCCGTCTGCCAAAAAGCGTCTTTGTATGCCATGTGAGGCCAATGCGAAGCATGGTGACCCCTGTCTCCATAAGCTGCATCAGGTATGCTCTCAGCTGCTTCTGAACCTGGCAAGGATTGACAACGGCGCTTGAACAGCAAAGAGGTGGGACAAACCATAGGCCGGTCACGTTCTTGTCCTCCGTGTTCAGGTCAGGCAGCCCGTACATGTCACACAGGCCTCATCATCTTGCATGTCCCGCTGCGACGGGACAGTGCCTTTTTCCCTGCGACAGTTCTCTTGGACAGTCTTGACCGAAAAGCAGCGCCAATTCAAAAGCCGCACAAATTTACCGGAGACTGCAGCCAGCGTCCCACAGCCACATGCGGCCACCAAGATCAATGATCAACGCTAACCAGGCTCTCAACGCTTGCCTCTTGCAGCGCCAGAAACGGACCATATCGAGATAACGGCGCCAGTGCTCTCCACTAATCACCACATTAATAAGAACAATAAACTTACTCTCAGAGCATGGCGCTTGTTGTTGGTCCAGGGTGGTAGTCCGCAGTTGGCGCGCTCGTTGTCTGGGTAGTGATGAAACCTGGCTTCTTTTGCTGACAGGACGAACTGAATGGTGGGCCATCAAAAGCCAGCGGGAACTTCATTGCACAGGTACATATCGGCTAAGGCTACTGCGAAGTTAGTTATGTAAATTCGGGAACGAAGACCCGGGATGGGATTGATGCAGCTGTACTGACTGTACTGTTGAACATTGCTGCTATCCGCCATTAATCGCCCTTCTGCCCGGTCCAGAACCAGAGGGCATCTGCTGAGACGGTCATTGTGAATTATGATTGCTATGTGTGAGATGTGTGAGACTGACGTATGAGCGACCCTGCAGCGCATTTTGTGTGGTTCTGTAGGCTACTGTTGGTCAGACCTTGTTGTTACACAGCCCGCAACTGTCGTAGCAGTTAAGCGTGCGACACTTTGGTAAGCATCTGCAGCTGTCAGCAAATCACGAGGAGATTTGCGTGTAGATGGCAGGGCTTGCATTGATCTACCGCACTGCGAGAACACTTGAACGTGCGTTCTCGCTCGACAAAAGCTTTCGTTCTGTGATGTTGTGGCCTCAGCAGAGAAGGCTGCCTGGGTCCTGATCCCGTTCATCTGGGGTTGAGGATTGCCTGGTCATAACCTGGTTGCGCAGCGTCATGATGCTGATGATGGTGGGATCGTTTTTGCAACTGAAGGCTGCGACGTCGAATTCCGCAAGTCATCACAATCACAACTGGGTTCAGTTTTGATGGCAACACTTCTCAAGATATTTGGGGACACACCAGTTGAGTCGGTGGATGCACCATCCTCCAACGTAATCGTATCTAGAAAGGTCACAGATATCAGCTCTGCACCGAGTTTCAGCATTGGAGATTGTCATACAGGGCTGGTGCAAGATTTGTACGGGCACAAGGTTGGCAAGGTATGGTACTCCAAGACTAGATATGATTAGATAAATTTCCTCGGTTATCGTTGTCATTTTCCTAACATCTGCAGCATCGGTCCCACGAAAGCTGAGCATGAGGCATGGATCGGTCGTACCAGTCAACTCCCTTGCGGCCTCGAACGAAAGCCAGCTGACTAGTTCGCTGTCTAGGAATGCGTCGAGCCCATCAAAAAAAACCACTAGCTATAATGTTCACCAAAACAGGAGCCCATCTGGACGTCCAGTACTAGCACGAAATCTTACAAAGCCGAACTGTCTTTACAACATCCTGTCTTGCAAAGCCTCATCCAGCCTTTGTGGCACAACTTGTAGTTGTCCAAGACTAGGCTTAACTGGCCTTATTTGTTGATGTGCCAGTTTTCCATGTATAGCTGGAGATGCCTTTTCCTGAAATCTTTGATCACAAACCATTGTTACTTGTTTCATAAAATGGAAGGTTTCACAGCATGCTCGTGTCTCAAATCCTTGCTAGGGTTGCCACTTGCCATTCGTAAGTCCCACACCATTCAGGTACTGACGGTTGCCATACCTGAGTCGCAGTTTCGCGCAGCTGCAGCATCTTGCGATAAGCGGCAATATCAGCGGTTCAGTTACATTGGCAGGGCTTGTTCCATGTAAGTTTTGCCTTGGAGATTGTTACCAAGGCGGTGCATGAGACTCGTGCACGCACTTTGGCGCTTCCCACAAACCAGCATGATATGAATCTTCCCGGGCAAAGGAGCATGTTTTGAATCAGGTCTGGCAGGGTGGTCATTAACCGAAACCACCGGAAAATGCGCTGACTCTGACTTGCAAATTCAAGCCAATACGGAATACTCCCACCTCCTCGTTTGTCAGCAACACTTCTATACGACTTTGAGGGCACTGCAACAAACTACGTTTTGGATGAGGGGCCAGAAATACTTCATACATCATCTTGACTTGTGGGCAGCAGGAGACGTCCAGAGGTCGTTGTGAATTCTACATCCCCAAACTTAGCAGCCACACTTCCTGCAAGAAGTTCTTTCGGCATGGAGGTCAACTCGTCTAGCAAGGAGCCCAGCTACAACAACCTCTGCGACCGTGAAGAGAACATGGTAATTGCTTTGAATATCAAAGAATGGATTTCAGGCTGGCATACATGCAACCGCTGTCAATACAGTGGATGGCAGACCTCATATGATGACTTAGCTACCAGGGACACCGCCGGCAATAGCATGCGTGATGCAACCAGGAAAACATGCATGGTCTCCTCTTCAAACACGTGCTCTAGATGCAGGTTCCACAATCTTCCATACAAGTCTGCGAAATCCGAGGTAACGGCTCAGTGCCTACCCAGCCCATGCCTGCAGCGCAACCATGCCAAGCAACGGCCAAAACAGAACTTTCGTCTGCTGCGCTCTCTCATAGAGGCCCTTACAACAAGGTCACAGCATGCTTCGGCATGCTCCTCAAGTCCTAGTGATGATAGTCCTACCATGCCTGAAGACCCATTGAACCCCATCCATCCCCATCCTCAAGCCTTGCTGCTTGCCGTCTGGATTGCGGATGGAGATGTGGCGAGTGAGAGGGCGTTTGCAAAAGCAATACAAGCATTGTCATGAATGAGAGCGCTGCTTGCCATGCTCATGGTTTGACATTATCTTTGATGTTCCAATTGGAATCTCAGGCCCTGAAAAGTTCTGAGTTTTTTCTGGAATGGCTGTGTCGCGCCTACATTAGTCGCGACAGCGCGACCGCTAGGCCTATGGAACAAGTGGATGAAACTCCCAAAGATGTCCAAGTTATGTACTTACACAATCGGCCATCGTCGTTGACGATGGACATGCACTACGTCACTACGGCTTCTTATTGAACATCTGCAAGACATATAGCCGTGGCTGGAGACCTTGAAGCTTGAATCCTGGTAGCCTCTTGGAACATCAGATCACCAAAACTCTTGGCTCCCCGCACTTGGCAGTTGATGATTTCTCGGTATCCTCACTTTGGCCACATGCCTGTCGCATGGGTCACATCAAGATCAGTGGCTGCAAAGACACTCACAGAGTTGCCACGCCACGGAAGAGACCAGCCTTGCCCCTATCCTTCTCTGGCGAGAAGACGAAAGGTCCAGCCATGTGATTCAAGACAACATCCACCTGAGCAAGCTGAAGCCAAAAGTGAGCAACAAATCGGTTCTGCTGGCACGCTGCAAGTAACCTAGGACTGGTCCTCAAATGCCTGACCAAGCTGCCATGACATTGACCCCTGCAGATCTGCACCTGTCGCCAAGTCATGCTCCCTTCTCTTCTGTGTTTGGCCTGCCATTTCATCCCGCCAACCCCTCTTGATGCATTGGAGAATAAGGATGCGCGCTCATGCAAGAACCACAGCGGCATGAACCAAAATGCTCGCATTGCAGAGCACTCTGTCAACCTTCTATCATCATTCAGGCGTCGCGCAGAAATTCAGTTCACATCGCACATTCGCTTGGCAGATACTGACGGTCTGATCAGCATGCACCCCTGCGTGCCACCTCCCGCGTTTGACGACCGAGATGCCTTACCCCAGCTAGCTGGCAGCCAAGTTGATGCCGCCCGATGACGTCAATCACCCAGTTGGCATGCTCCATCCGTAACATCAAGATCAACTGTTGTCTATGATAAATAAGCGAGCGAACCTGCCCACCATGGCGACGAACTCGTCATGGCTGCCACTTCGTGAGTCTAACCTCGGCAGACTGCTGGGTGCCCGGCAAGCTCACATTAGCAAGCGAAGCTGGACAAAACTTGCCCTAACTCTTGCATCCCGTCAATTTGAAGCTGGAAAGGCGTCAAGGTGCAACCGCGCGGCTTGTACGACACGGGTTGGTATCGAGTTGCCCTGCCGGAACGATGTCAGTACATCTAAGTAGATATCAAAGATAAAGATTGGGGAAGTCACCAGGAATCACCCAGAATGTGTTCGCTGGGTGGCGAGACCTGCAGGACTTGCGTGTGATACAAAACCAAATCTTGCTGCAGCCGCTGCTTGCAGTGGCCTGCACAGCATTGAAACCTGCTGGCCCCAAGTAGTTTTCGCATTCGCTGCCTGTTTGGTAGGAAAGCCCCAGAATCATGGCTCCTGCATGCTTCTGCTCTCAAGTCCGGCACCCACGTCTTGCCAGGGCCTTACGCCGTGATGTAGGACTTCTGCTGCAAACAAGGCAAAGCAGCTACAATTGTCAGCCAGAACAGAAGTTCGTGACATTGCTGGCCGCTGGAAGGGCGCATGAACGCCCATGCCATTTCCAAAGCTGCAAGATCGTGCTGCAGCACGGGGCAAAAGCATGGAGAATACCGCGCTGCTTGGCAGCAGGCCACTCGAAAAGATGCACTGCTACCAGGTCCGGCCGCGACCTCGGGTCGTAAGGCAGTCTTCGTGCGCAAAACCGAGAAACAGCCAGCGGACACATCCTGAACCGCAAATGCTACTGGGTATGCGGAAAGGCAACGGGAGTCTATGGATAAACCTAGGCGGTCCATTCGCGCAAGGGTACAAACAAACGTCTTTTCAGGTAAATGTTAGAGGATCGTGATCGAAGACTAATGGAAGACTGCAGGACCAAAACAGGAGGAGCCGCCCAAGCTTGTGCAAGAAACGACGGGTCAAGAAAAGGCAGTGCAAGAGCTGCACATTACAAGCGATGGGGTTAACACACCCCACGCGGTGAGAATAGACGTCATCAACTGCGGACGCTGGCATGGGGAAGATTTCACTTCAGCGGGATATTTACACCTCAGGAAATGCTAATCCTCATGTAGATTCTGATTCCAGAGCAGACCAACGTAAGGGCAGATTTCCCATTCTGCTGCGGCTGATTCCAGGGGAACCCGACGCTAGGGCGGTTTTTGCCGCTGCGGACGCTCCCCGTGTAGACGCAAGTTTTACACATGCCCCAACATGGGATGATGAGATACTGCCATTTCCCGGTTAATGCGTTGTGGACCAAACAGGCCGCCCGAAACGGTTTTCGAAACATGCCGCAGTACGTGCACTGCACATGACAAAATGTGCAACGGCACTTTTTGATGCGAGTGGGAATCGCCTGTAGCGGCGGGGGGTCCGCAGACGCCCCAAAATCCCGGGGCCGGAGGGGCGCATCTGCTCCCCATCCGACCCGGGACGGGCGTAGGGACCCACCCCTTTTCAAGAGCAAACGCCTTTATAGGCGGATGATGAGCTGAAATAAACAGCCTGGGTTGGGCGGGTGGGTCAAAATGCGGTTTGAGCAATCAGGCTGCGGTGCGCGCC